AATGGAGAAGGGGAACTGGTTCCTAGGGACACAGGTTGAGGCCTGGGTACCAACTGTCATGTTCCATAAGCCACTGAGTTCCCCTGTGTTGCTTAAGCCAGGTAAAGTTGGATATTCTATCGTTTGCAGCCACATGAATCCTGAATCCAACAGCATTCTGAAATTTAAACGATTCGGCCATTCCCTGCTCACCCTATTAAGTTATCCTGTAGAGCAGTGATGGCGAACCTTTTGAGCTCGGCGTGTCAGCATTTTGAAAAACCCTAACTTAACTCTGGTGCCGTGTCACATATAGAAATTTTTTGATATTTGCAACCATAGTAAAACAAAGACTTATATTTTTGATATTTATTTTATATACTTAAATGCCATTTAACAAAGAAAAATCAACCAAAAAAATGAGTTCGCGTGTCACCTCTGACACGCGTGTCATAGGTTCGCCATCACTGCTGTAGAGTCTATTGGTGTTTTTATCTTACAGATTACACTAGATTGGGAGGGAGTGGGCTGGAGGGGGACAAGGTTTGGAGCAGTTCAGCTGTTCTTGCTTTCTCTGTCCTGAAATTGCCTGGGGTTACCTCCTCCTTACCAGGACTGATGAGGGTTCAGTGCCTTGGGGCTGGGAAAGGGGCTGAGGGAGGGGCTCTGCTGATGGAGACGCAACTCCCGCAAGCGCCGCCCCAGCACGGCAGCAGGTGAGGCAGCAGGTGGCCTCCCTCTTGTGATTCTTCAGCACCCTCTGTGTCCTCATCACCCCATTTTCAGAAAAGTCTAATGCAGTGATGGCGAACCGGTGACATGCGAACTCATTTTTTTAGTTGATTTTTCTTTGTGAAATGGCATTTAAATATATAAAATAAATATCAAAAATATAACTCTTTGTTTTACTATGGTTGCAAATATCAAAAAATTTCTATATGTGACACGGCACCAGAGTTAAGTTAGGGTTTTTCAAAATGCTGACACGACGAGCTCTAAAGGTTCGCCATCACTGGTCTAATGGAAGCATCTCATGCATAAATTAAACAATAAAAACATCTTCCAGCCACAGTGAAAATAAAGTCAACAGAAACTATTCACATGTATGGTAATTATCATCGTACAGTTCAGTTTTCCCTTAAAAATAGCGAGTCTAAGATGGAATCAGTTTAGTATTAATAAAAGTCCAGGCATTTACTTAATAAAAGTGCTGCTGTCTTTTTAATCTTCTGTTTTTCTCTCTATGGTTATAAGTTCCCACCTAATTTTAACTGATTAGCACCATAATAATTCTCCTTATGGTAAACATTCCATAGAGCTTATTCCTTTCTCTGAAAAACTAGTTTTTTTTCTACTTTCACACAATACTCCTTCACCCTAGGGCAGAGGACTCAGGGGGAAGGAGAGGAAGTATTAAACAAAAAATACTCTGTGAGATGGGAGGAAGTTTTACTTTGGGGAGCCGGGGGGACTGTTCCTTGAAATAGACCTAATTATGGCTGGGATTTGTGTGACTTTGGGTTAATCACCTGCAGTTGCCGCCACCGAGGCGAGCCCCAGTGGTAAATTAGTGCTGGGGTCTGCAGAGAGACTAGATGGAGACTCCCGCGTGCACACCGAGTGGAGCAGCCCGCCCTGAGGAACAGTCATTGCAGAGGTGCCCCTGGAGTATATCGTGTCTGCATTTAATTTGTCTTCACTGCAGCTACTCTATTTATGTAGCTACTCTGCACTGCTTGGTGGTGCTCGCTCATCTCCTCTGGAAGGCCACGCGATTAGCACTCTTCCTAAGGTGTAAATCCAGACCATAGTTTCTTCTGTTAAACACTATTATACTTAAGCAGGGCTCACTAAAATAGAATGCGATCACCAAGGATCGTATCGCTCTTGCTCTTTTCATGGGCTTGAAGACCAGAAAGGCCGTTCCCAGGATTTCCTGGGATCTCGCTTAGTTGCTCAAAATTGGCACTGTGACGTCTATGTTGATAAGAAGATATTAGATTCACATCTTATTATCTGACAGTAGGTTAATGTGAAAAATACTATATTATGAAGAATGTATTTCACAGCATCTAACAGATGCTGCTAGTATAATAGCCCAATGTAGCAAGTGCGCCAAATGTGCACGAGCGTGTTTTTGACACTGTTTTCGTAAGTGATGATGTAGCCTAATTGAAACTTACTAAAATTGTTTTCTCCTCCAACTGTCATGAAAACATACCAAATTATGTGCTTTGTATACCCATGATTTACAAGTATAAGCTGTGTCTTCACTGCAGCTACTCTATTTATGTAGCTACTCTGCACTGCTTGGTGGTGCTCGCTCATCTCCTCTGGAAGGCCACGCGATTAGCACTCTTCCTAAGGTGTAAATCCAGACCACAGTTTCTTCTGTTAAACACTGTTATACTTCAGCAGGGCTCACTAAAATAGAATGCGTTCACCAAGGATCGTATCGCTCTTGCTCTTTTCTTGGGCTTGAAGACCAGAAAGGCCGTTCCCAGAATTTCCTGGGACCTCACTTTGTTGCTCAAAATTGGCACCGTGACGTCTGTGTTGATAAGAAGATATTAAATTCACATCTTATTATCTGACAGTAGGTTAATGTGAAAAATACTATATTATGAAGAATGTATTTCACAGCATCTAACAGATGCTGCTAGTATAATAGCCCAATGTAGCAAGTGCGCCAAATGTGCACGAGCGTGTTTTTGACACTGTTTTCATAAGTGATGATGTAGCCTAATTGAAACTTACTAAAATTGTTTTCTCCTCCAACTGTCATGAAAACATACCAAATTATGTGCTTTGTATACCCATGATTTACAAGTATAAGCTGTATATTCCTTTTGGCTTTCTCCGCTGGTTTAGAGTTACATTTGAAAATACGAGATTTTTATCCCTTTGAATATTAGTCTAATGAGTTCATTCAGTCCCAGTGTGTATTAATTCTTCTTCACTTACATAGCCAGCAGTAGATTCAAACTTGAAGATTCATTTAAGGCATTTTTCAGATTTTTTTAAATCTAAAGTTTGTTAAATCTAAAAATCTGTTATTAAAAAAAACATCTTATAGTCTTTTGATTTAACTCATGGAGTCTTGCTGGCATTCAGCAATGTATAAGTTTAAATTTTTACCTTTGTGTGCAGCTGTAACTCATCTGTGGACTTTAGATTTTGTGTGTGCATAATTACATAATCTTCCCATAGGACTGTTTAAACTCCTCTTCCAAATCTTTATACCTTTCATTTCATTTTATTGTTTCTAGTGAGGCTAGGCCTCCACTGACCGGGATCTCCACTACAGTGTTACTAGAAGTGGTAATAGCTGACATCATTGTCAACATCCCCAATTTCAAAGGGGAAATGTTAAAAAAATTTTCTATTAACTATGATGTTATAAGTTGTTAGATTTGATTTTGTTTAGTTAGGGTTTTGAATCTATGTTCATGAATGAGAAAATTCTGTAACTTTTTTATAATGTCCTTGTCTGATTTCTGTTCGATGGTTTTGCTAGATTTTTAAAGGAAGCTAGGGAGTGTTTCTTCTTTCCTACTACTGTCTGGAAGAATGTGAGTAAGACTAACATTATTAAAATTCACTGGTGAAGCCATCTAGCTAGTTTTTAGTTTTGTGTTTTTTTTGTGGGATTTTTTGAAGAGTTTTTAATTGCAAATTCAACTTCTTCAATAACACTGTTTAGATGCCCTGTTTCTTCTTGTGTCCATTTTGGTTATAGTTTTCTATGAATATGTCTATTTCATCAAAATTTCCAATTTATTGGAAGAGAGCTCTTCATACTATCCTTTTGCCTTTTTATGATCTATAGGCTATGTAGTGATGTCTCCTTTCTTATTACTGATGTTTGGCATATGGGCCTTCTTTTTTTCTTAATTAAACTCTCCAATGTTTATTTTTATTAATGTTTTCAAGTAACTTATTTTCATTATCATTTTGTTACCTATGGGTTATTTAAAAGTGTTTCCTTAATTTCCAGTGATATAGGAATTTTTTCTTTACAAGAAGATAGCTTAGATTTCTAGATTAAAAAACATTCTGAAGATTCCCATTATTTGAAATTCACTGTTAATTTGCTTTTATTTTTGTAAATATTTATAAAAATTCCACTGTGAGCTTGAGAAAATGTATATTCTGTAAGGTAAGGTGTTCTATGTATTACCATTAGGTCAATTTTCTTATTGTGATATTCAAATCTTCTACTTTCTTTTACTATGTTTATTTCTCTGCGTGCTGTCAGTTACTGAAACAAGTGTACATACTGAAGTCTCTACTGGTTGTGAATTTGTTTCTCTAGTTCTGGCAGTTTTTGCTTTATGTGTTTTGACCCTACGCTGTTAATGCATGTAAATTTGAAATTATTTTATCTTCCTTGTAAATTGAAAGCTATATCATTATTGAGTGTATCTCTTCATCTCTAAGTAATGGTTATTGCCTTAAAGCTAACCTTGACTAATGTAGCTATGTCAATTTTCCTTTGGTTATTATTTGCATAGTTAATTTTTCCATTCTTTTTTTTCAACGTTCTATATTTCTGTGTTTTACATGATGATTTATAAATAGAATGTTTTAACTTATTTATTTAATGAAAGTGTGCCAATCTTTGTCTTTAAAGACATTGTTAAAACATTTACATTTAATGTAATTGAGTCTAAATCTGTGTCAGTCTTTTAAGGTCAATAAGTCTTTAAAAAAACAATTTTTTACATTCAGAAAATAGACAGTTTGTTAACATCTATGAGTAAGAAATTTAGCTTCTCTGATTTGTATATAAATATGCATGGATTTATAAAACCTCATCTATCATTTCTTTGACGGCTATCTAATGAAAAGAGATGCAGAGACTAAAATATGTTCAGAACAACATTTCTAATTTAGTATTTGGGAATTTTGCTTGCATTTCATCTTTATTGTGATTACTTGCCTAATTCCACTAAACATGGCATTAACAATATATCTTTTTTTTTTACAAAGTACTATAAAGATTTCACTTTTGGTTACAGGGCTGTGACTCGCAAATGAGCATGTCAGAAGTGTCCTGTAGTAGAAGTACATCCTCCTGTCAGTCTCTGGAGCATGGCTCAGTTCCAGAAATTCTCATTGGCCTGCTTTATAACGCCACCACTGGCAGACTATCAGCAGAAGTCATCAAAGGCAGCCACTTCAAAAACTTGGCAGCAAACAGACCACCCAGTGAGTGGAAAATGTTTGTTTTTTTAAATTCTAATGTTTTCTGCACTTATGGGAATCTCAGTGTTAGGAGCTTTCGTCCTACCATTTAGTCTTAACTGATCAAAATGAAATGGTGTAATAATCATCAGCTAATCTGTCTCATGATTTCTATTTCCAGTCATTTGGGAAGTAGAAAAATTTGAAATTCAAAATATGAATTGGTAGGTGTCGAGACTTAAATTTTTCTAATGTCAGTGGAATAAATTCTCCCTATTATAGCCATTATCTTCTAATGCCAGAAAAAGTTACAGGGTCTTTTTAAGTTACTAATATTCCACCAAGATAATCAGGAATATGGGTAGTTATTGCTGTTACCTGAAGATTGATGCTGTGTTATCTGTCTGCATGCAGAACTATACACTTTTCTCCCTTAACAATTTAAGAAGAAACTGTTTTTTTCCCCCACATATTTCTTCTTTAAAATTATAAGTCAGTACTGTCACCAAAGTCTTTTCTTAAGTGGAATGTGCTTTGGCTTTACCAGGACCAACAGAATAAGGAATATTTTTATATTTATCCCAAATGCTAGGAAGGGAAACTAGATAGTATACCTCTGCCCTGTCTCTATGCCTCTCACTCTTCCAACTCCTAATCTCTCTCCCAGCTCCAGGTAAGTTATGGGAGAACAGAGAAATTGTCACTCAGCGTATGCCCAAAACTATTTGTTGAAATCTATGGACGCAAACTGGGAAATAGCAGCTTTTTTATACTTCTCTAAATTAAAGCTGTTAATGCCCCAAAACTAAAAATTTGGAAATTTTGAATAATAATGGTCACTTTAAATTTGTTTAAAGATTTCTTTCAAACTTGCTTAAAGCAATCTTTTACTCCAATTATCAAATAATTCTTGAAGGAGAAGAAACTTTTTCCACCCTTGAATTAACATTTTTTTCCAATCAAGCTGAAAAGTCATAAATACATATCTGGTTTGCTCTAAGTAGTCTTGGACACCTTGCTTCTCACATACATCATGAAATGTATCTATCCCTGAATTAAAAGTCAGAAGGCCTAAGTTATGTTCATATTTCTACCCTTGGACAAGTGCCCTAACTCCCCTTAAGTCTGTTTCCTTATACATAAAATTAAAGCTGTGTCTCCCACAGGGTAAATGTGAGCCTCAGACAGACAAAGGTGCATGAAAGAAGGATGGATTTATTATCGTCCTCTTTCTCTTTTCAGAACGAAAATTTTTAGAGGGTGTAAAGAAACGGTTATTAGAATAAACAGCTCCTTGGTTATCTTCATTAATACACACTTAGAATGCAAACTCTAATGGCCTGGGAAGCAACTTAAATGAGCAAAAGTTGTGGATGAAAGTTAAGGAGCATGGTGAGGCCTGTGACAAATGGGAGAGTGTACACCCTGCATTTAGACATTCAGATTGGAAATTTTTGTCAGCACCGCAGCAGATAAGACACTTTTGGGGTTCCCTTTAGCCACAAGTTATCAGTTTGCCCTTCATTTTTGCTTTAGCTAATAGTTTCATTTTTTGACAAATATTTAACTTGAGATACTAAAAAGTAGCAGAATGAAGTGATGTTTGCCTCTCTGTCCTTGTTCTACCCACTTTGATAGAAACAGAAAATCACTAATCAGACTCAAAATGAAAGGAGCAGAGTAGAAGAGGTTAAGAGATTATCATCCACAAAAATAAGGTAGATCTTTCCGGTTCTAAAGAGTAAGTTAAAGCACTTTTCATTATTTTAGAGTTAGATCTTCAGTATCAGGATGTTTAGCTGAATTAAATATAAGTCAACATTAAAATTAGTTACACAGGGTAAAATATAAGATAATAAAGTAAAATATAAGACAATTATGTCAGTTCATCTTATTCTGTATATATTATATAAGATTGTGACCCTTCACATATACCTAGGTACTAAGCTTTGAACTGTGTTATAAACTGAATAATCTAATTTTTAACCAAAGAAAACAATAGTAGTATTCAAGGGAAAAATTTTTGGTAATTCTATTTTATTTTTCATTACTTAATTTTATGTTACATTGAGAGTAGTAATAAAAGAATTTGAAATATTAAATATTGCATGGATAAACTTAAAAATTTTGGATAAGAATAACAGTGATCCTATAATGACTTTTATTCAGTCTTTTATAGTCTGATAATTTGCATGCTTCTATGTTCAATGTGCTTTAGACCAAGAGGATATCATTATAAAGATGTCCCCCTTTAAAACAGTGTAATTTTTGTTTCAGATTACAAAATGACCTTAAAAATGCTCATTTCATGAGTTTTGCCCAAGGACCCTTTTGTTCAACCCTCTACCTGAATTAAAATGCTAAATTTTTGTGTTCTTCCACTCCAGTGAACAGTGTTTCCTCTTTAATTCTAACCTTTGACCCTCTTTCACCCAACAATTGACATCTGGTCATTATTTCTTTTACTGCTTTCCACCCCCTGTTGTCAGATGGACTGTTCTGTTGTCTAAAACACTTGATAGGTGGACAGGTTTATATAATCCGAGGTGAGTTCCTGTAGAGGCTAATTGGATGTTGTCTTTTCATGCAAAACAAAAAAAAAAATACCCTAAAACTTGCCAGCAGTGAAGCTGTCCACCATGTTGGTTTCAAAAAATGCACATTTATTATCTGTGGTACTTTAAGTAAAACTAACTTAGAATGTATCTCTGATTATGGATGATGGTATTCAGAGTATAAAGTAAGCAAAACTTTTTAAATTAAAGGCTTTTTTTCATTCATTGTATTTTGACTCATACAACAGAAATAGTTACTTCATCAGAAATACTGCAATTTTCATTAAGATTAATTGAAATTTTGACAAGAAGTACACATGATGGATCAACATGCTGAAGGTCATCTGCATGAATCAAACGACCTTGAAAACACAGTTGTTTGACGAGAGGGTTTATCTCCCAAATAATAAAATACCCTAAAACTTGCCAGCAGTGAAGCTGTCCACCATGTTGGTTTCAAAAAAATGCACATTTATTATCTGTGGTACTTTAAGTAAAACTAACTTAGAATGTATCTCTGATTATGGATGATGGTATTCAGAGTATAAAGTAAGCAAAACTTTTTAAATTAAAGGCTTTTTTTCATTCATTGTATTTTGACTCATACAACAGAAATAGTTACTTCATCAGAAATACTGCAATTTTCATTAAGATTAATTGAAATTTTGACAAGAAGTACACATGATGGATCAACATGCTGAAGGTCATCTGCATGAATCAAACGACCTTGAAAACACAGTTGTTTGACGAGAGGGTTTATCTCCCAAATAATCAGGCAATGGACTGTTACGTTTCACTTTGTACACTAAACATCACATCCGTTGTTTTTTTTCTAATTCATGAACATAGTTCGGATGCCATACATACAATTGGACATTGAATTTGTGTCAAAAAAGGAACCCTGTAGTATCTATTTTGACTGTCCAGAAAGCACATTAAATGTACTCTTGCATGAAACCTGGAGAAAGTTTTACTTGACTTGCTGAACTTTGAGCCCTTAATGCATTTAGCTTCATTTTGGCTCTTAAATAGTTTTAAAATATAATTAAAAACCACATCCATGCAGAGATTTTTTTCACATTTCATCCTAAGCTGTTTTGATGTCATCTTTGCATTCTTGTCTTCCTCTTTTCCTCTTTATCATTTGCCTTCATTTCTATTTGTTTGTTTATTCTTATTCTCTGAAAACACAGTGGAATGCTTTACAGTGTTGTGGCTAATTGAGCTTGCTAAGTGTTTATTAATGCTATGATGTCCTGCTTAGTGAAGCTAAATGGGGATGGGGATGGGATGTGGGGGGGCGGTCATGGGAGGTGGTGGGAGGTCAAGGAATGGCTGGGAGGGTGGAAGAAGGATTATGAGGTATACCTTTAAATTCTGACTATAATGTAGAAATAGTGAGGTTAAGATATTAGTATCCCCCAAAGATTTTCTGCCTCCTTAGCATTCTCTGTACCTGTCACATAGTATAAGCATCTACATCAAAATGGAATTAGTTGAATTTCCATTAAACATGGTATACACCATATCCTTACAAAGCACAAAGAATTTTCTCAGCAAATGTTACAAGAAAGTTGTTTTTGCGTTTGTTTCAAATGATATTTGTGGTATGTTGTTCTGTGTTTTTTTTCCCCTATAGATACATATGTTAAATTAACTCTACTGAATTCCATGGGTCAAGAAATGTCTAAATGCAAGACATCCATCCGCAGAGGGCAGCCAAATCCAGTGTACAAGGAAACTTTTGTTTTTCAAGTGGCCCTGTTTCAGCTCTCTGACGTGACCCTTATCCTGTCTGTGTATAACAAGCGCAGCATGAATTTTTTTGTGTTTTTTTTTTCCCCTATAGATACATATGTTAAATTAACTCTACTGAATTCCATGGGTCAAGAAATGTCTAAATGCAAGACATCCATCCGCAGAGGGCAGCCAAATCCAGTGTACAAGGAAACTTTTGTTTTTCAAGTGGCCCTGTTTCAGCTCTCTGACGTGACCCTTATCCTGTCTGTGTATAACAAGCGCAGCATGAAAAGAAAAGAGATGATAGGCTGGATTTCTCTAGGTCTGAACAGCTCTGGAGAGGAGGAACTCAATCACTGGACCGAAATGAAAGAGTCGAAAGGACAGCAAGTGTGCAGATGGCACGCGTTACTGGAGTCATGATGAGGAGAACAAGCTTCTGCAGCCCCAGGCAGCATTGCTGTCAGTGACAACGCCGCTGTTTTGACCTGGTCATCGTTAGAAGACTTATTCTTTGAAGAATCACCTTCAACATTCTACCAAAATGTTTTAAATTCTGTGGAAAGACCATCTAATACTGACAGGAATGAAGGCAGGTTGTATCTCTGGTAGAGTTTGGGACGATGAAAAACCCTATCATCATTGTTAAGCTACCGATCCTCCAGAGCTTTAAGAACATGCTTTTGGGTTGAAGTTCATTTTACTTTAGCAAAAGAGCCAGTCATTTCCTGAAAAATCAAAATTTTCAATGATTTTTTAGAATTTTTAGTTGCAACACGATTTTAGTATCACCCTACATATTATCCATAAAGCATATTTTGACTGGCTTGTCCCTGGTGTTTTGAAATGTACTTTGATAAAAGAAAGTAGTTCTCCAACTCTATTGTAAGTCATATCTGGTGTTGAAAGGTTTCAGTCACATTGGAAATTGTTTTCTTTCAGATATTTTCCCTTTATGCACTTAGCTTCCTTGTACCTCGGTTCTCGGTAGCACTAAATCTGAGTGCAAGCAAGATTTCATTGTCATAAAGGCATTTTTAATGTTATTTTAAAAACTCATTTCTTCATTTACCTCTGCTTTTTGCCCCATCAAAAGAGACCCAGTCACTGTACTGGTCCCTTGCAAGTCCTTAGACAGGTTGTACTGTAGAACTCTGTAACTTTCTGTTGAAAGCACTTCCTGTATTCTCGTATTCCAATGTAGGAAGCTAATAGAACAGGACCTTACTTTAAAATTCCTTTCAACGACTGACTCTTTAAAATCGTAGTAATGTGCATATACATTTTTTACAAACTAAAAAAATATAGTATGAGCTGCTGAAAATGGAAAACATCTTAAGTTAAAGAACATTTTAATGATCCGCTCTGAGTGTGTAGTAGCAAGCACTGCATAAAGCAGGTAGCATTCGCATAAGAAACTGTTCTCTCTCTAAATCTTCTGCTCTCTCACTTCAATTTGTATTTCTGACATAAAGACTCTCCACTTCTCGGTTTGAACCAGAACATCGTGTTCAAAAAGGTTCTGGGATTCCTTATGAAGTTTCTAGTGACTTGTGACTAGATTTTATCAAACTTACAGATACGTTCTCCAACGTGATGTCATCCTGTGCCTTTTGTGTAAGTTAACTTTGCTCAGACAGCGCGAAAGTTGTATTTGCAAAGTTAGGCCTTCGATTTTTATAAATGAAAGATTCCTCAGAACAGTGTCACAAGCTCTCTTTTTCCTCTGAAGTGTGTGAAAGCTGTACAATGTGCTGTTTTTCTTAACTCGCAAGGCCTTTTCGTTTGTTTTTATATTTAGGAACACTGATTAATCAGAAATACTATAAGCTGTTTTCTTTTTAATTTTGCTTCTTAACCAATATATAATTTTATGCATACACTTTATATGAACAACATTTTTCTCTTTCTAATTTTTGGTTAAACTAGACGAAAGCAAACTATTTGCCAATTACTAAAAAGCAAGTATATCATTGCTCCTAGTCCCAACTAAGTACTATATATATTATTTTAAGCGAGGGCTTGTTTTCATCACAGTAACAAAACCATGCGTACATATTGTTTCAACGTGGCTAAACTGAAAGGCCTTAAATTTAAAAAAAAACAAAACACAAAAAACAATAAACTCCTGATATATTTTTTAAAATGGCAGCTCTATGCATTTATGCACATGAATTCTAAAATACAAATGCTATATGACATGAGTTTTAAGACTGTCTATTATAGAGTTGCATTAAAGGGAAAAATTCGTTCTTTTATTGTTACACTATTCAGTTTTTCCCAGGTGTTTTGGGTGTGTGTTTTTTTTTTTGTAATTGAGTTAGGTTATAAAGTTAGAACATGAATCAAATGGCATGATATCTCATGTAGCAGTCATGGAAAGGGTTTTAAGCAGGGTGGGGATGTAGGGTTTACTGAGAAATTAGATTTAGGCATTTGATGCCAGAGGTATCTGCCCTGGCTTTGAGACAGCTGCCTGCATTGCTAACACCTGGGATCTTCCTAATAAAAAGAGATTCAGTCTTATGTGTAGCTGTAACAAAGCCTAAACACACATGTGATAAAACCAGCTCGGTGCTTTTCCTTCGGTGAGGAAAGACCTCACTAGCTGTTACTTGTTCAGTCTGTCCTTCAGCCGATGCCCAGAATTGTGTGTGTGCTCCGATGTATCCTTGGGGATTTGCCTGGCATAAGTATCACATCCAATGTGGCCTAAAACGTAATTAACAATTTTAAAAACTTTCAACAAAGGACCCCGTCTCCATCCCAGCTACCAAGTCCTCAAAGATTATGGATTATGTGTCTGTGTATCTGTATACACACCTGCACACATACACACTATGTATGTGTGTGTATACATGCATACACACACACATACACACATGCATGTATGTAAAGGTGAAGGTGCCCTGGCTTTTTCAGAAAAGGAATTAGAAAAACATCTATCAAGTTGATGGATTCTTTTTCTCCTCTATTTAGGAGAAATTATATTTGGTTCTGGGTGCTATTAGCTGCCATTCTCCTCCACACACAGCAAAGTACGTATGGTTTTTCCTGTGGTCTGACACAAGTTAATTACTTCCAAAAGTTTGTCTATTCTTTTAAAAAAGGATTACATACGGCTCAAGAGACCCCCTCCCTCTGCTGAATCTGCTGTACCAGGCAGTCCGACTGCTCTTTTGTGTGCTTGAATTTGCATGAAGGCTTAAAGGCAAAAATCTTATATCTCAGCAATTATAGCAAATAGGGACCCACTGGTGGGCAGCAGGTGTTGTCTCAGAAACTCGAGAAAGGCAACGCACTTTCTTATTGTTCCCTTAAAATCCCCCAAGTTTTATAATAACATGAGATAGTCCAAATATGGCAATTGACTGGCACTCATATAATTTCCTGAGCCTGGAATTATAGACTTTTTGTCTCCCAAATGAGCTGCAACACATAGTTATTTATTACTGCCCGGGAAACAAAGTGTATTTCAAATCAGTAACGAATTTTAGTATTTTATCCCTGTACCTTTCAGAAAACTTCCTTCTGGAGTCTTGTGTCTTCTGTACTATCCACATTTTGTGTGAAATCCATTTGTATGTTTTCTTACTCTGCATCCAGTGAATTCTCAATAATATGATATTTAGTGACAAAAATAATAATTTGGACCGCAATTTTGAAAAAGAAAAACCAATGAGAAAATATCTAAACGACCCGGATTAATGTACATATGTCCAAGTGTAGGGCCTGGTAAGGCAGTGTCATCCAACCCAGGGCTATTATGTTAAATTATTTTCTTGCTACCATCATCATTTTCATTTCACTTTTCAATCTAGTAAAAAGCATAATCAGTGATTGCAAAGTAAGATAGCACCAGTAGGGGCAGAGGTCATGGAATTGTGGGTGTTCTTCAAGATGAAGTTGGAGACCAAATGATATCATAGTTTTTCAAGTGAACTGAGAGGCTATTTGAAAGTATAAATTATAGGTGAATTAAGAATACTAGTCACCAACTAATTTTGTTGAAGATCTTTATCCAGATGGGGAGAAAATGACACAAATCCACGCGCATAAAATTGCCACTTTCCTACATAGACTAGATAGTCAATGCGTAGAGATTTTTCTCATTGATAGTTATATTATTTCACATTAATAGTTACTATTCAGACTTTTTATTTTTTTTCCCATTCACTGTCCCCAGTTCATCCATGGCCCACACTGGAGGGAGCATCAGTATCACCCATCACCGACCAAACTCAATATTGAGCACAAAGTTGAACATGCTATGAAGCATTTTTAAAAAATTATCTTTAAAACATCATCTATGTCCACCGAAACGCATAATAATCATAATGGTAACTGTTATAATTTACTGAGATCTAGCACAATAAGTTATTATTTTGTTTGATTCTCACAACAGTATGAGGTAAATAATATTAACATTTTATAGATGAAGAAACTGCAGCCTAGAGGTTAAACAGACTTTCCCAAAGTCACCCAATAAGTAGAACTGGAGTTAGAACCCCGGTATAAATTGCGCTAAACCCATACTATGCATCTCACAGCTGCATCCCCCTTTACTGGCTACAAGAAAAACAGGACAACATTATGTTCATCAATAACCCTACCCACCTCAGTTGAATGGCAGAACTAAAAGGAGGAGGAGGAGGAACAACAACAACAGAGCTTGGGAAAGAGAAATGCAAAACAAAGAAAAGAAAATTAGATTGTTTCTCTTCTCAGGACACAAATGGTACTTGTGTGTCATATTTGTAGTTGATTTTCAAAGACTTGGGGATTTAATTTACGTTGCCAGTTTAGCCTATACTTATATTCTGAAACTGTATTAATCAATGTATTCTACTCATTGCATACTTTTGGAAATCCAAGACAGTTGAATGATGTCTGAGCACCTTTCTGCCCTATGAAGTGGACAGGGATAGCCTGTATTCATCGGTCAATGTCAATGGTGAGAGGAGAGACTCCTGTGCTCTCATTGCAACTTATAGTACTTGTGTTCTCCTCTACCCTTCATTATGGTTTAACTGGATCACAACTAATTGTGCTAAACCCATACTATGCACATGTTTCTCTTTTCCCCTTGATAGTAGTTAGTGCCTTGTCTTGTTATCTTTATGTGGCCCTTACTCAGATAGGCACATGGTAAATATTGAGTTGAACTAAATTCCCTATAGAACAGTGGTTCTTAACCTTGGCTGCACATTAGAATCACCTGGGAATCTTTTTAAAATCCTGATTTCTGGGCCTCATCCTCCGGAAATTCTGTTTCTTTGTTACTAATGTGGTGGCCCCACCCCATAACAAAGAAACAGAATTTCCGGAGGATGAGGCCCAGAAATCAGGATTTTAAAAAGATTCCCAGGTGATTCTAATGTGCAGCCAAGGTTGAGAACCACTGATCTAGACAGAATTTCCGGAGGGTGAGGCCCAGAAATCAGGATTTTAAAAAGATTCCCAGGTGATTCTAATGTGCAGCCAAGGTTGAGAACCACTGCTATAGAAATCAGACTATGGCCACAGAGCGCAAAGGGGAAAAAAGGGCTCACCCTTTTTTTTTTAATTCTGATTACTGTTTGATATTTGAGTTTGTCCTTTGAATATTCAGGACTACTCTAACGGGAAAAAAAATACCTTTCTGTGTATTCCTTTCACATGTGATCGCTCACCTGACACTTACTGTTTAAAATGAATACCCAGTGGATGAAATATAATACTCCATTATACACTGAAAGAAATAATTTTCTGAAATTTGTTTGTATATGCAGATATTGCCAGAATGCCTATTTCCGTAAACCTAAGCAGTTAATATTAAATATGACTATTCTGTGTAATGAGAAAATGGGGATTTTCCCTTACCCCTGAGGTTGGTTTCTCTTGCCTCTCACATCTGGCTGTGAACCGCTTTCCAACACTTCCTTTGTCAGTTTCTGAGTGTGCTCATCTCCATGTGGGATTTTCCGCAATGACCAAACTTTTGGTACCCTCAGGGGAGGTTCTCACCAGTGATTCCTGTTCAAAACCCCCATTAATGCTGATGAAATACATGAGCACCAGCAGGAGGAAAGATCCCTGAAGTGTAAAGAACCAGGACCTTAGAGCCCTGATATAGGTTGGCAGCTATAGCACCTAAATGGGGCTTCAGGCCTCGTGCAGTAGAAGCCAGCGCCTGGGAAATGAGAGTTTAAGTCCTTAGGCCCGAAATGTTCTCCTTTTTGTCTTCTCTCCTTGCACATTTCAAAAAATTTTATGAGAAAGCCTTAAAAATCAGTTTTAAATTTTTCAAATGTTCTTAACCAGGCAATTTCATCAAAAGGAAACCAAAGTCAATCATAGGAAGCCTTTTGGGGGGAGGGGGAGAGGGCAGGGGATGGTGGTGGTTTTCGTTTGGGGCAGTCTTTTGGATAAATATTAGGAATATTTACAACATTCTATAATCAAGTCCCATTTGTTCTGTGAGGAGAGACCAGGGTAGCTTTTGCATATAAATTGGCTCTATTAGTATTTAAGTATGTTTAAACAATTATTTGAAGTACAGCTAGAAAATAAAGGTGATGCTTCAAACAGTATTTTGAAATTATAAATATTACTTTAACTAAGAAAACTTATAGCTTGCATTACAAAATTTATAATTTTCTGCACAACTTTATTGAGATGACTTTTGCTTTTATAGTGAAAATAATAGAGTGACGAAAATTTTGAGGAATCTTTAAAGCTGTCATAGAGTGGCAAACAACCTTTGAATTTTTACTAAAATTTTGAAATGAGAAAGTATATCAATATTCTCAGTTCAATTAGTCTTTGCTGAAGAACAGCTATTATGAGTTTTAAGGGTCTTGATAAATGTTGAGTTCTGTTCTTTTTCTAAAACTCATGATGTCCATTATTGTTCAGTGCATTGTGTTTTATTTCTCAAAATAATGTAACATGGAAAACTCAGTTAGTGGAATCTTTTAGTCAATATCCCTACTTTCCTCCCTCCCCTCTCTTCCTCCATTCCACCCCTTCCTTCTACTTCCTTCCTTCCTGTTTCATTTTTTTGAGGCAAGAAACTTCCTTAATAGAGTTTCTACAGAGCTTTCTTACTTATTTTTCTAATAATGGTTATAATAGTGTGATGAAGTTTAAATGCTCTGTGAGCAAAACTATTAACCTGAAGAAATGCATTACTGTTCACCATTCCCCTTGGTCTTAAACTGTCTCCAGCATAGTTTCCAGTGACTCTACAACATTAATGGATCTTATGAATATATACAAGTATCTGTATGGTTATCAATAGTGTTGTATTATTGTCACATTAATAGGCATTTTTTGTCAAAATATAAACAGATGCGTGTGTGAAATAACTCATTTTATAGAATGATCATATATCTCATCATTTTCATGTAATTGAAAATGTGCTACATGTTGCATTTTATTCTCATACCTACTTTTCTACTATCTATATACACCGATTGTCTCGGTGCCCTTTTCCTTTTGTATAATTGTATTACAAAATGAAATTACTGACCTCTGTGTAAACAATGTACAAACTGTTAAAATTATTCATCTAAAGAGATTTTAATGGCAGTTTAATTTTCCAGAAAATAAATTTTTGCGTGGGTTAAAGGTTACTTTTCCTCACCTTTCTGTGAGAAATCTCTTCACATGTTAGTACTCACTAGGAATGGGTAAGCATCTGACTTCTGATAATGATACATAAAAATCAGCCCTAATTTTTTATCATTGAGAAATAAGTGTTGCCCTCAGGTGGCTCAGTTGGTTGGAGTGTCTGCCCATACACCAAAAGGTTGTGGGTTCCATCCCCAGTCTGGGTGCATACAAGAGGCAACTGATAAATTAACCAGAAGCCAATTTTATTCAACTTTGTTTAGTGTAGAACACCAGTGCCCAATGGGTCTGGTTTAATCTTCTTTTTGTAAGAATTGTCTGAACTGAACACAATGAAGACATGGAACACTTTTTAAAATAAATGGGTTCACCATTTAATCAACTAAGTTTAAGGAATTCGTATTCCTTCCCAATACTTGCTACTGAATTCTCCCTTTCTCTCAAACATTTTTGGGTTTCCATTAGCAAGGTGTTTAAGAAGCAGCAAAAATAATAGACTTGCTTATGAGTTTACTCCAAAAAAGAGTCACATTTATCTGGATCGTGGCTTATTGTCTTTCACAAAATTACAATAGATAAAAAGTGAAATTTCAAGGTACCAAACTTATGGACCTGGGTCGTTGAGAACATTTTATGGACTTGACCCCAAAGGCAAGGGAGGTAAAGGCAAAAATAAATGAATGGGACTATGTCAAACTGAAGAACTTCTGCACAGCAAAAACCAA